GTAGTTGTAGTAGCAACAACAACAGCTATAGTAGTAGCAGCAGTAGTAGCATTAGTAGTTGTAATAATGTATATAATGTTTTTGTTGATGTTGTTAACATTAGTGTCGTCCTCACAGCAGTAATTCCCATTGTTATCTTCAACAGTGAACTGGTTGTTGTAATTTTTATGGTGTATACAATCAATATTGTTAGCAATATTCTCCCTATCAAAATGATTATTGTTATTTATATCATTATGATTGTTATTATGATTATTATTATTGTTGTTGTTGGTGGTGGTGTTGTTGTTGTTGTTGCTGGAATTCAGACAGTTATTGTTAACATCATCATTAGCGGCACATCTCTCGAGGGAGACTTGTTTATACTTCGCCATGATGTTACCTCTTCGGTCCTCAACAACTTCCTCCCTCATTATTCTCTCTTTGTACAAATGGTCACCGATACTGTCTCGAATTATTTTATGTACATCACTTCTGCCAACGCCGTTCGCCGTGGCCGAGTTGCTTGACTCGCTTCGCTGGGGCACTCTGTTCGCCAAGCAGACGACGGATTCTTTGAAAGCGATCCTGAAATCTTTCGACGCGCAGTTATACACGATGGGGTTGACGCAGGAGTTGGCGTAGGCCAGGCAGTACCAGAAGAACGTCAGCAGTCTGTAAATATCACTGGTCGATATTTCGCCGAAGTAAGCAACTAAGAGGTGAATGTGAATCGGCAGCCAGGACACGGCAAACAAGATCACGACAGATATCAACAAGCGACCAATTTGTTTCTTGCGACGAGCCGAGCGCATCTTACGCAGAGCTGCGGCGTGAGTTGTCGGTCGATTTTTCACCATCTGTCTGCGGATCCCGAGCGAGAGTAACGCAATAATCACAAGTGGTAGTAAATAGGCAAGTAGAAAGAACAACGCGTACATCGGCTTCCCGTTGTTCCCATCGTACAGGTCGCAGCTGATCACGTCGGGCGTTCTGTCTTCGCTGAAAGTCCCGTAGGCAACGAAGATGAATGAATTGGCGATGCAAGCGACGACCCAGATGGCGCCTATCAAGCAAGTGGTGATGGGGCGCGTGCGAAAACGAGATGTTTTCGCGTTATGCACAACGGTCAGGTAGCGTACAACTGTCACGAGGACCAGTGTGTACACAGTCACGTACGCGCTGACGTTCACCAGGAAGTGCATGAGCTTGCAGGCCACTGTGCCGAAGTGCCATCTGTCGGAGGCGAGTGAATGCATGGATTGATGAAGGAGTGAGTGAATGGCTGAATGACTGACTGAATGAATTGATGAATGGATGAAGGAATTAAAGAATAAATGAGTGAATGAAAGAATGGATGAATGAATGAATGAATGATTGATTGATTGATTGATTAATAAATGAATAAATGATTGCAAAAATGAATGAATGAATGAATGCGAAGAGATTTAACGGATGAATAGATGATTTAATACTACAAATTTAATTTAATTTAATTTTAGCCTATTTCATCATCAGCATCGTCATCAGCATTTTATAAACATTATTTTTCTCCTCATCATTTTCATCATCATCATCAACTTCATCTTCTTCATCATCTTCATAGTCATCATCATCACACATCTGAAACCTACAAATTTAAGTCAACATTTTGCAGAAATAAAATTTCAAAAGTCATACGCAGTGAATTTACTTCTTAATAACTTTCATAAACAGTTGACGTACTGTCCTCATAAATTTAAATACAAACAATTCATTTTAAATTTTTATAAAAAAAATGATGGACACAGAGTCATCATGATGATTTTGTTTGCCACCGCAGCTGGCATTATGAATTCTTATAATGAATACTATTCATTGGGTAACATCAGACAACTCCAGCCGTAGAAATATTATTTGTAGGCTGTATTGTGAAATGTTTATAAAAAAAATACACCTACACACCTACACACACACACACACACGCACACACACTCAAAACGTACACACATACATTCACACACGCACACACAAGTGCACACACACGCACAAACATACATATACACCCAAATGCATACACACAAGCACACAGACAATCATTCTACAAACTCCTTATTAGTTTTCTAGAAAATGAAAAAACGGAGTTTTGTTGATTATTATTGTTACTATTATTATTATTCTCCTTATTCATCGCTATAATTATCACTATTATTATTATTATTATTGTTGTTATTATTTATTACGTGAACTGTCAAATGAAATAACCATCTTGAGAAAACATGCAGAAGGGAGTACGTCATGACTGGGTTGGATGAACGCAAGGAAAAAAAATTAATAGATAGATAGATTTCCGAACAGAAATATGAATGGATGAATGAATGAATGAGTGAATGAATGAATGAGTGAATGAATAAATGAATAAGTGAATGAATGAATGAATGAATGAATAAAAGAACGAACGAACAAACGAACGAATGAATAAATGAATGAATGATTAGACAGATAGATGGAAAAAACAAAAAATATATAGATAGATAGATCG